GCAGGGGGAGGAGGAGGGGCAGAGGGAGAGGGAGAAGCAGGCTCCCCACTGAGCAGGGAACCCTACTCAGCTTGATCCTGGGACTCCGGGGTCATGACCTGAGCCTAAGGCAGATGCTTAACCAACTGAGCCACCCAGGTGCCTCTAGCCAAAATACCATTCTACATTCTTCTTTCGCCTTCATCTCCCACAAGCTTTTTTTTTTTTTTTTTTGGCTTTCAGACTTCTGCACATTCAGCTACCTCTTTCCCTTCCTTCTCCTCTCCAGCTGTCTGTAACCTTTTATTAATTTTCAAGACTCAATCTCCACCTTTGAGATGCCTACCCTTATCCTATCCTCAGTGGTTAATTGGGTAATGTTGACATTGATATTCTTTTTTTTCTTTTTGGTGCAAAATGGTGATTTATTCAAGCACAGGGATAGGACCCGTGGGCAGAAAGAGCTGCTGCACAGGGGTTGTGAGGGGTGGCTGATTATATACTATGGGGTCGGGGGAGATAAGGAACAAGGGAGGTTTTCAAAAGAACTTTCACATGAAGAGGACCTACAAGATACCGGAGGCCTTGCCATTGTCAACGCAAGATTTTCATGCATTCAGTGGGTCAGTAGATCTGGCTTTGGTCTCAGTAGAAGATCATGAAATCAGGATATTCCATAGAACACTGGGCTTAGCCTAAACTCCAGCTACTTCTGTCGGAGAAGGCTTTAAGAATTAGCCCTGTCACACGGTTCTTATCATTAAAAGATCAAATTTTGGGGCGCCTGGGTGGCTCAGTTGTTAAGCGTCTGCCTTCGGCTCAGGTCATGATCCCGGGGTCCTGGGATCGAGCCCCGCATCAGGCTCCCTGCCCAGCGGGAAGCCTGCTTCTCCCTCTCCCATTCCCCCTGCCTGTGTTTCTGCTCTCGCTGTGTCTGTCACATAAACAAATAAAATCTTTAAAAAAATGAATAAAAGATCAAATTTTGCTGCTTTTGCACCTTGAGCAAACCAGCCAACCCTAAAGCCTCAGAGGTTTTTGTCCTTGTTGGCATCAGAACTCTATTATTATTCTCCTTCTTGTTCGTCACTATTGCCCCTCCCATTTGGATAGGCTTTAGTGATTATGGGTGCTTTCACAGATGGTATCTTATTTGTTCCTCACAATAACCCACCCCTGTGAGGCAGAGAGGGCTATTGTTTTTCCCAGTTGAGGGGACTGCAATTTCACCTGGCTCTGAGGATGTGGAGTGGGCCTGACTCCCTGGCGTGCTACTTAAATTCTGGGACCGATTTATGAAATTTCCCATGGAACCAGAAGCGTCCCTGTCCCCAGGAAAGCTGTGGTATGGCAGTAATGGAGATGCTATCAGCAGCCAAGCGGCCAGGGGCTGGACACCACTCCCACATCTGCAACTTCAGGCACAGCTGTTCAGCATTTTTGCTTCTTGCTGCCAGATTGTGCCACTGATTACGGGGTATTTCAGACCCTGCGGAAGATAAGAGCTCTACAGACCTCACTGACAGGCCTGGCGCTCCTCGCTTATTTGGCCTCAGATGCCAACCTCTCTAATTTCTTCTCACATCTCTGCTCTCGCCGTTCTTCATACTCCACACTGGCCTTCACTTGAGTTTCTTGACTAAACCATACTTTGTCTAAGGTTTTTTTTTGTCTGGAAGTTTCTTCTCTCACTTTTGCCCAGTTAGCTACAACTCATCCCTCAGAACTCAGCCTCACTGTCACTCCTCATTTGCAGCTTTCCCTGTTCCTGAGAGAGCAGCATATTCACCTGTACACACTCATAGAAACCCATACTTTTGCTTTGTAGCACTTAGCAGAAAAACACAGGGTGGTCTGGAATGCCGTCCAAGGGGAGGGAATACCATTTGTTTGTAACACTTAGAAGCCACAAGTACTAGCCATAATTAAGCTAGTCCTGAATAAAAGAGCAAAGTCTATCCAATCAAAACTACTTGAAAACTTTTCAAATCCTTTATCTATACCTTTCCAACCCTACGGAGCTCTGTAGTCAGTGTTCCACAAGACCTGTTAGAAACCCCCTTTTCCCACCCAATGCCTTCACATACTAAAGCTGCTTTCCCTTTCTTCTCAACAACTGTCCCCGCCGCCCCCGGCCAATTTTTGCACTGTGGTCTTCTTTCCCTCTTCCTTTCTTCCTAATTCACCATGACAAAAAACAGCCTAAGAACTAGTCTGGGAAGGTAGGTCTCTTCTGGAAGGGAGGGGAGGGGAAGAATGAGTAGGCCAGACCAGAATCTTCTTGGGTGGGTAGGGGAAGGAAACATTATCTTGGGAACATTATCTTCTCACTGTTGTTCAGTTATCTAATGCTACATAACAAACCACTCAAAACTTAGTGGCATGAAACAACTACCATTTCATTATGCTCATGATTCAGTGGGTCAGAAGTTTGGGAAGGACACAGAAGGGATGGTTTGTCTTTGCTTCCCAATGTCTGGGGTCTCAACTGAGTTGGCTCAAAGATAACTGGAGAGGGCGCCTGGGTGGCTCAGTTGGTTAAGCGACTGCCTTCGGCTCAGGTCATGATCCTGGAGTCCCTGGATCGGGTCCGCATCGGGCTCCCTGCTCAGCGGGGAGTCTGCTTCGCCCTCTGACCCTTCCCCCTCTCATGTCCTCTCTCTATTTCAAATAAATAAATAAAATCTTTTAAAAAAAGTGGCTGGAGATGGTAGGGACAGCTTGACTGGGGTCATAAGTCTGGGATTTGAGTTCTTTTCCATGCAGTGTCTGCTGGGACTAGAATGTCTAAGATGGTTCCTTCATTTATATATCTAATGTCTAGGCTGTAGGTTTGAAACTGGGATGTGGCCAGCATTGTTTTCTCTCTTCATAGGGCTTTTCCATGTGACCTCAGCTCCTCACAGCGTGGCACCAAGTTTCCAAGAGGGAGCATTCCAAGAGTAAGAATTCCAAGAAATCCAGGTGAAAGCTGAAAGACTTTTTGTGATCTGGTTCAGGAGTCCCAAGCTGTTACTTCTGCCACATTCAAACAAGTCAAACAAGCCACTCAGTCCAGCTCATATCCAAGGGGAGGGGAATTAGATTTACCTCTTAATATTTAGATCAGTGTGGATCCATAGAGAGGAACAGAGTTAATTGCTGCCATCTTGGAGACCATCTACCATAGTCCTTACCTCATTCCAGCCACCACAATTCATGTCCCCTTTCATGGAATTGCCTTGAAGTCTAGGATTTCATCAAAGTCAGGTCCAGGTACATGAGGCTCCTTGATTGGAGCTCCTCTTCATCTGAGGAACTGTGAATTAAAGAGACAAGTTATGTGTCCCATCCCTGCCACTGAAAGATATGAGACGACATCATTCTGCTTTAAAATTTGTTTGGATTATGAGAATTGATATTGTGGGAGAAATGGGAATTTGGAAGTTCAGAATGTCCCAGTCATGTGATTTTATATATATATGTATATATATATATAACAGCTTTGAAATACCTGTTTGGATGCTAACAGATACTGAGAGAACCGTCTAGTAGTTAAGCTGAACCCTGAGAATTAGGAGGGTTTCTTTTTTTGTTACTGCCCAGGGAAAGCTGAGTTGGCATTCAGAAATTAAAGGCTGAATCATGTGTTTTTGCTGACTGGCAGATTTGGACTGGAGTTGGGGAAGATAAATGAGAGAAATGATACTGGCATGTCAAGATAAGTCCTGACAAATGGTGATAAAGTAGGGTAGGACCTCAAGGGCCCTCAGAGTGAGGGACGAGCAGTTCTTCTGCTTCTGCCCCTTCCCTTCACTTAGGCTATTCTTTTCCTCTGGCCCACCAAGTTCCCTTTGGTCTCCAGCTCATTGAGCAGTTCCTTCCTTTTCTGCTTTTTCCCAATCCCCCTTCCTTATGATGATCTTTTCCTTTTTTATAAGGTACATTTGTGTGTCTTTAGGAACGTAAAAGAGGAAAGCAAAACCAAACTTGATCTGAGAATGATCTCCTTTTCAAAACTCTTGGTATTTGTTCTTCTCTTCATATCGTCCAGATTTAGTCTTGGATTGGAGAGGCAAGGCACTAACTGTGCCTGGTGACTTTATCAGATTGGAGTCAGCCAGCAATCCTTATTATCCTATGATGTGAACACTAGAAGAACCTTTCCAGAACATCTGGTGCAACATGTTCATTTGTATGTGGAGAATTTGAAGCCCAAAGAGCTCAGGTGACCACTGTTAAGAGATATTAATTAAACATCCACGATGAAGAGGACGCTTTTACAGGTTTGGATGTGTTCTTCTAAATGGTCCACCCATTCTGACTAGTAAAATAGGTGGAGTGATTTGCTGTGACTCTCTCATAACTCCTATTGTGTAAGCACAGAAATACCAGGAACGGCACAAGAACCGGAGTCAAACCCCGCCTAAGTTGTGAACTGACCCTCAACAGCTGAGGGTTGGGAAGAAAACGTTGCCTGACTCTGTGGCTTCTAAACCAACCTTAAACCTCGTCTCTGTGCCCCCACACCCACGACATAGTAGGCATCAAGAAACGTCTGAAAAAGTAATATGAACCTTCCCTCAAAAGCCCTTCCCTGCCTCCCCTCCCCCTCCACATCCTCTTGGGCTAGGAACTGCGTTAGCATTGGAGCCCCTGCTCGGGGACTTTTCCGGCTCTTGTTAGTTCTCCTCGAGACAGTGGTGCGTCCTCGGGACAGATGCGGGGCTCCTTTTTTTTCACGGCGGGGCGCGGGCTGGAGGCTGCTCACCCCGACTCTCATATTTTTCCTCGGAATGGGGTCTTGTTTGGTGGGCACGCAAGCACCAAAGGTGGCCCGAAGCGGTCTGGGGAACACGAGGGACCTGCGGGGTAGTGCTCAGCATCCAAGCCGGGAGGGAAGGCTCGCGGGGGGTGGGAAGCCCCGTCCACTCCTGAGTCCACCCGCGCTCCCACGCCAGCGCGCCCGGCTCCGGGCTGGAGCCCCGAGGGTGGGGCCTGGAGGGGGCGGGGCCTGCCACGGTCAGGTGACTGGAGGGCGGGCGGCCGTGGCGACGGTGGCGGAGGGGCGTCAGACTCGCCTTAGGGTCGGCGAGGCGGGCTGGCAGTTTGGGTAATCACGCCGCGGTCATGGGGGGCTTGAAGGACGAGCTGCTCAAGGCCATCTGGCACGCCTTCACCGCACTCGACCTGGACCACAGCGGCAAGGTCTCTAAATCCCAGCTCAAGGTGGGCGTCCCCCCCCCCCCCCCCGCCCCCACCCCCGCCCCCCCCCGGCGCGCGCCCCCCCCCCCCCGGGGGGTAAAAGCCGGCCCGGGCGGGCGGCTACCCCAGGGAGGGGTGAGTAGGAATGCGGCGGGACGGCCTGTTCTGCGCAGAGGGGCTAGTGACGGGGATTTGGCGGTTCTGCCTCCCTCTTGCCTTCGGGCCGTGCCCTCGGGCGGGTAGTTAGCCCCCTCAGGGCTCCCCGTGAGCGGTTGGAGGGGGTTAGGCGGGGATGGGGTCTGAGGGGAGAGGCGGGCTCCTGTCGGCGAGGTGGGGGGGCGCCCATAAAGTCTCAGACTCGGAGAGAGCGATGGGACGCTCCCTTAGACAGAATACCCAGATAACCGCTCTACTCTGGAAGAGGAAGGGACTTACCCAAGGTCACTGGGCAGAACCTTCTGGAGAGCGCACGCTCCACACCCGGGCCGCCCTCAAAACGGCCAGCTGCACCCGAGGCAGTCTGGCTGTTCAGAGGAGCGAGAAGTGCCCAGAACCTGGTCTCCAGCGGCTTCCTCCTTTGGGGGCTTTGGTGATGGGAGACGCTTTCAGACTTGTGAGAAAGACCTCCCCGCCTAGGGGCTTTAGGTCAGTCATGCGTGTGCTGCGTCCCGCAGGGACCTTAGTTCCGGGTGAGGAGCCCTGATCTTTCTGGCAGAGTCTATATTGTGACTGCTAAAGGCCCCGTCATTGAGAGTATAGGGTATAAATAAAGGAATGCTTGTAAATTGAGTAACCCCAAGCAGGGAAAGTGGCATTTAGCCCGGAGAAATTGGCAGGTTCTTGAAAGTATAAAATATAGAAACAGACAAGAGCCGTTCACAGGCATTTCTTAACATCCACATTTTGGATCTGAATGTCTGGTTTTCTTAGCTTTTTTCTGGGAATGAATTTCTGAAGATTGGATTTGCTTTGTTTATTTTGTGCAGTAATCAGGAGGTTTTTATGAGTAGTGGTTTTTATGCCAGTAGGATTTAGCATTTGTTCTCCTTTCATTTTCCTTTCACACTCCTCTCTTCTTCTCATTCATAAAATCATAGTCTGGAAGGGTTCACAGAGATCATTCTCTTAATCTTTATTTTACTTTTAAATTACAGTAAAATTGACTTTTTTTGTTGTAGAGTTCCATGAGTTTTAACAAATGTACAAATTTATATAACTACCCAAATCAGGTTTCCATCCATTCTGTCATCCCAGGAAGCTTCATATTGCCCTTGCACCTCCAGCTGGGGTCAACCAGTGGTCTGCTGTGTTCTTTTTTTTTTTTTTTAAACTTTTTTTTAAAGATTTTATTTATTTATTTGAGAGAGAGAATGAGAGAGAGAGAGAACATGAGAGGGGGGAGGGTCAGAGGGAGAAGCAGACTCCCCGCCGAGCAGGGAGCCCGATGCGGGGCTCGATCCCAGGACCCTGAGATCATGACCTGAGCCGAAGGCAGATGCCTAACCATCTGAGCCACCCAGGCGCCCCTGCTGTGTTCTTAATTGCTATAGTTTTGTCTTTTCCACCGTGTCATGTAAAAGAAGTCATTTGGTATGTAACCTTTTGACACTGGCTTCTTTTACTCAGGGTAATGCCTTAGAGATTCATCCATGTTATTGTGAGTATGTATTAATAATTCTTTTTTATTAAGTAATCCATTGTATGATTTGTATGTATCCCATGTAATGGGATTAACTGAAGTTAATCTATTCACCCTTGAACATTTGTGTTATTTCCCCTTTTTGGTGATTATGAATAGAGCTGTGTTTTACTTTTTACTTTTTTTTTTTCTTTTTTAAAGATTTTATTTATTTGAGAGTGAGAGAGAGTGCGCACAAGCAGGGGGGAGCGGCAGGCAGAGGGAGAAGCAGGCTCCCTGCTGAGCAAGGAGCCCAATGTGAGACTTGATCTCAGGACCCCAGGATCTTGACCTGAGCTGAAGGCAGATGCTTAACCAACAGAGCCACCCAGGCACCCTTACTGTTTTGACTTTTAATTTACCTACACCACTATATTTAAAGTGGATTTCTTGTAGATAGCATGTAGTTGGGGCTTGTTCTTTAATCCATTCTGACAATCTCTGTTTTTAATTGTTGTGTTTAGACCATTGACATTTAATGTAATTATTGATATGGTTAGATTTAAGGTTACTAATTTTACTGTTTGGTTTCTGTTTTCCAATTTTTTGTTCCACTGTTTCTCCTTTCCTTCCTTCTTTTAGATTATTTGAATATACTTTAGTATTTCATTTTAATACTGAGTTCTTTTTTTTTTTTTTAAGATTTTCATTTATTTGACACAGAGAGAGGGAGAGAGAGTGAGCATAAGCAGGAGGAGCTGCAGGGAGAGGGAGACGCAGGCTCCCCGCTGAGCAGGGATCCCGATCTGGGGCTTTGATCCTAGGACCCCGGGACCATGACCTGAGCAGAAGGCAGATGCTTAACTGACTGAGCCACCCAGGCGCCTCAATAATGAGTTTTTTTACTATATTTCTTTGTATAGTTTTCTTAATGACTGCTCTAGAGATTATAATACATACCTAACTTTTCAGTTTACTTAGAGTTAATATTTTACCACTTTAAGAGGAATGTGGAAACCTTATCACCATTTAAGTCCTTTTTTTAAAGATTTTATTTATTTATTTGACAGAGAGAGACACAGCGAGAGCAGGAACACAAGCAGGGGGAGTGGGAGAGGGAGAAGCAGGTCTCCCGCTGAGCGGGGAGCCTGATGTGGGACTCGATCCCAGAACCCTGGGATCATGACCTGAGCCGAAGGCAGATGCTTAACGACTGAGCCACCCAGGCGCCCACCATTTAAGTCCTTTTAACCTCTGCTTTATAATTGTCATATTTATTAATTTACACACATTGAAAACCTTATCAGACAATGTTAAAATTTTTTTGCTTTCAACCACCATTTTTATTTTAAAGATCTCTTAATAGTTTTTTCTCCCCAGATAACTCTTTAATTTTTTAGAAAAAGATTTTATTTATTTGAGAGAGAGAGAGAGTGCACACAAGCAGGGGGAGTGGCAGGCAGAGGGAAAAGGAAAAGCAGGCTCCCCACTGAGCAGGGAGCCCAAAGTGGGGCTCAGTCCCAGGACCTTGGGATCATGACCTGAGCCTGAGCCACCCAGGTGCCCCGATAACTCTTTAATTTTATAGATAAGGTGGATTAAGCTTATGAGGTGTTTGGTGGCTTGCCCAGACTCCCAGTTGTAAGTAGTAGCTAAATCTATACCAAGATTTTCCAACTTTTGAGCCAATGTTTCTTAATTTTTTTCTCATTTAGTTGATGACATAAATGAGATGTTTCTTTTTTTCTTAAAGATTTTATTTATTTATTTATTTATTTATTTGTTTGTTTGTTTGTTTATTTATTTATTTATTTAAGAGAGAGAGACAGCATGATAGGGGAGAGGGTCAGAGGGAGAAGCAGGCTCCCTGCTGAGCAGGGAGCCCGATGGGCTCGATCCCAGGACTCTAGGATCATGACCCAAGCCGAAGGCAGTCGCTTAACCAACTGAGCCACCCAGGCGCCCGACATAAATGAGATGTTTCTATTACTTTTGTTGCACTCCATTCAAAATTTTCCTTGTGGCTGCTTGTAGAAAAAGAGGATTCTTGACTGAAAGGCTTGGCAAGAAATATTAAATCCCAGTACATACCTTCACCCACAAGATGTTGATAATGCAACTATGCAGTTGTATTTTGTCTGTCCCTTGTCTACTTAACCGAGAGACTTTGGGATTGATTTAGTTCTGTTCATCTTACCAGTCTTCCTGGAATGGAAAATATTAAGAAAAAAATTTCTATTTAGATCTCCCCTTTTTGTTTTGACTCTGAAGTTTGATGTCCACTGATTTATTGTCTAGGAGTAGAGTTTTTGCCTTAATTTGTTCATTCATTCATTTGTTCGTACTATAACCTTTTGTTTGTCTATTCTGTGTAAGGTACCATGTTAATTTCATAACAAAATTAGTATTTTTATGCTCTTTTTTCTTTCTCTTTTAAAAATCTATTTATTTTTAATAAAATCTTAAAAAAAAATCTATTTATTTTTTATTAACATATAATATGTTATTTGTTGGGGCGTCTGGGTGGCTCAGTCGTTAAGCGTGTCTGCCTTTGGCTCAGGTCATGATCCCAGGGTCCTGGGATCGAGCCCCGCATTAGGCTCCCTGCTCCACGGGAAGCCTGCTTCTCCCACTAGCTCTTCACCTCCCGCACCACTTGTGCTCTCTCTCTCTTTCTCAAATAAAAATCTTTAAAAAAATAAATAAAATTTGGGGCGCCTGGGTGGCTCAGTCGTTAAGCATCTGCCTTCAGCTCAGGTCATGATCCCAGGGTCCTAGGATCGAGCCCCGCATCAGGCTCCCTGCTCAGCAGGAAGCCTGCTTCTCCCTCTCCCACTCGCCCTGCTTGTGTTCCCTCTCTCATTGTGTCTCTCTCTGTCAAATAAATAAGATGTTTAAAAATAAATAAATAAATAAAATTTAAGAATAAAATAAAATAATAATTCAGTTTAATGTTCCTCTGTATCCAGCCTGAAAAACAGAGTAACACCAAATCAGTACGACAATTTAAAAAAAACCAGTTGCCTTCTAACAATCCCATTGTTAAACTAATACAGCTGATAACTTCTAGGGCAGTACAAAGGCTGAGTGTGGTTGGGGGTAAAGACTTGTACAACCGCAGTTCAGGTGGGGAGCCAGAAACGCAAGTGGAGCCAAAGAAAGGTCCCCTGCAGAGGGTGCACAAAATGCAAGGAAGAAGCCTGGGAGATCACAGGGAATGCGGAAGGAAGAGGGAGAAAGAATCAAGGTTAAGAAAAGTGAGGCAGAGATGGTTCCCCCTTTTTTGGAGGGTACAGGGAGCAGGGGCTTGGGGGGAGGAGAAGGGTACATTAATGAGGATCAGGAAGATATTGACCTACATTGACCTCATGCCCAGTTGTCTTAACAAGGAAGCATCACTGTGACTAAACAACCTCAACATCTTGCCTCTATAGTAGCTTATGCAAGTCACAAGTGGTTTTCCAATTCTGTGTTCCATATTTTTATCTTATTGATAAATTTAATGAAAGTGTATGTTTGCAACAACAAAATAATAACTTATGTTGTTAATTTATTCTTTGGATTTCAAGTTACAGAATTTATTGAGGTAGTAATTTTTGTTTTACTCAAAAATATGCTTATTAGTTAATAAAAATTAGGTATAAAACATAAGCTTTTTTTGTACTAAATCGGAGGCCCTGGAAGAAAATATTTACTAATTTTTTTAAAGATTTGATTTATTTAGGAGCGCCCGGGTGGCTCAGTCGTTCAGCGGCTGCCTTCGGCTCTGGTCATGATCCCAGGGCATCGGGCTCCCTGCTCGGTGGGAAGCCTGCTTCTCCCTCTCCCACTCCCCCTGCTTGTGTTCCCTCTCTCGCTGTGTCTCTCTCTGTCAAATAAATAAATAACATCTTTAAAAAAAAACGATGTTATTTATTTATTTGAGAGAGAGTGGGGGCTGGGGGGACATAGGGAAAGGGAGAAGCAGACTCCCCGCGGAGCAGGGAGCCCAGTGCAAGGCTGGATCCCAGGACCCTGAGATCATGACCTGAGCCGAAGGCAGACATTTAACCGACTGAGCCACCCGGGTGCCCCAGTATTTACTACTTATAGCAGTGACTCAAACACATCTATCTAAATGAGTACTGTACTACAAAGTAATCTCCTAAAAGTAAAAAATTGAATTTATTCCCAAGATGATGCCAATACTCCAAACTTTTCACAACTTCTCTTTAGAGAAGAAATATGTAGTTTATAAGCTATAGTTTGTTAGAGTCACTCTCATTACTTTACAATCTCCAAAATATATGTATAGAACAATAATAATAACTCTCAAAGATAAGAGACTATGTCTTCCTTGAAATCTCTTCTCCCTCAGTTCCAGTGTTGCTCCAAAGTGGTTCTTACTCTTGTTTCCAGTCCCTTGGCTTCTATTCTTCCTCTCACCACATACTCTAGTCATTCCCCAAGGCCGTCAATTAATTCCTGTCTTTTTTCCAAGTTTCAATTCTTTTTTTTTTTTTAAAGATTTTATTTATTTATTCATGAGAGACAGAGAGAGAGAGAGAGAGGCAGAGGGAGAAGCAGGCTCCCAAGGAGCAGGGAGCCCAATGCGGGACTCGATCCCAGGACCCTGGGATCATGACCTGAGCCGAAGGCAGACGCTTAACCATCTGAGCCACCCAGGCGCCCCTTTTTTCCAAGTTTCAACTAAACAGATCCTGTACTGACAGCCCCACCCTTGCTAAGGACATCATCTCCAGCAAGGAAGTCAAAAACAAAACAAAGTAAACAAAACCCTATACGTGTTCAAAGCTAACTTTCCTTTCTTCTCTAACAGTTCCTTTTCATAACTTTCCCATTTCTATTAAAAACCACTACTATCCATTGGTCATCCACAGTTGAAATTTGAAACAGTTCTGACTCTGTCCTTTTCATTTCTCCTCACACCCATTCATAAGCCGAGGCTACTAGACAGCAAAACTCCTTCACCCACCATCCCCCACTTGTCTGTCCTCACCACCTCCAGCCCCTATTACCTCTCATTAGGGCTACAACAATTGTTCCCTAATTCCAATATGCCCAATCCACTCTAACTCAGGTCACATGCTACAGCCCAAGTGACTTCCTAAAGTGCACTTTTTATCATGGCCCATCACTTCTCAGAAAACTTGGAGGCTCTATGGCACCTACCTCATTAACCCGGTACTCAAAGTCTTCCATGCGTTAACCACAATCTATTTCTATTGCTTTATCACCAGCAATAACTCTCTCTTAAATATACATTCACACACACACACTTATATTCTATACTGCAATCAAAATAAATTACAGAGAAGTCCCCATAAATGCCTGATTAATTCCTGTCTGTTGCAAATAGTTCACAGGGATGCCTTGGAGCAAACAGCAGTCAACAAATATCCAACGAATATCCAATGAATGAATGAATAGAACGGGTTTACCTCTCCCTCCTGCATTTCTATATAATCACATCCTGTCTTCAGAGTTCATTTCAAAGCTTTTTTCATGAAATAATCTCACCAGTAAAAAGTAATCACCTCGGGGCACCTGGGTGGCTCAGTTGTTAAGCGACTGCCTTCGGCTCAGGTCATGATCCCAGCGCCCTGGGATCGAGCCCCGCATCGAGCCCTGCATCAGGCTCCCTGCTCTGCGGGAAGCCTGCTTCTCCCTCTCCCACTCCCTCTGCTTGTGTTCCCTCTCTCGCTGTGTCTCTCTGTCAAATAAATAAATAAAATCTTTAAAAAAAAAGAAAAAAGTAATCACCTCTTCCTCTAAAATCTCATGGCCCCTTATTTTCTAACCCACTCAACATCCTTTATCCAATATTTATTTCTTATCTCAACCACCAGATCTTATTTTTCTTTTTCTTTTTAAAGATCTTATTTATTTATTTGAGATAGAGAGCAAGTGAGAGAGGAAGAGAGAGAGAGCGAGCACGAGTGGCGGGGGAGGGGCAGAGGGAGAAGCCGACTTAATTTCTTAAGGATAAGCTAACTGAGTAATATAATTGAGAGAGAGAGAGGACCAACCATCTCTAATGGTTGATTATTTTCTTAATTTGCCTACCAAAATTTAAACTCTTTGAAGGCAAAAATTTGTATTTGTTTCTTTCCCCCCCCCCCACCTCTACTACCACCCCTAGCATTGGGCAAAGTATCTAACACATGAAGTGTCTATTACATAGTTAGTGATTATCCATTCGTTGTGTCAAATATTGTGAAGGTAATTCAAAAAGGCAAATTCAAAAATATTTTAGAATGCCCATATAGTTTTACAAAGTGATAAACTTTAACACTTGTTTTGGATATTTAGTCTGGTATTTAATAAACCAATTATGATATTAACTCTTAAGAGTCTAAAAATAGCAAAAATGAACTACTGAGGCTTCATCAAGCTATTGGGACAACACCAAGGGAAATAATCAACAAAACCAAAAGACAACCACAGAATGGGAGAAGATATTTACAAATGACATATCACATAAAAAGCTAGTATTCAAAATCTATAAAGAACTTACCAAACTCAACACACTAAGAACAAATGATCCAATCAAGAAATGGGCAGAAGACATGAACAGACATTTCTCCAAAGAAGACATACAAATGGCCAACAGACACATGAAACAGTGCTCAACATCACTTGGCATCAGGGAAATCCAAATCAAAACCTCAATGAGACACCACCTCACACCAGTCAGAATGGCTAAAATTAACAAGTCAGGAAACAACAGATGTTGGCGGGGATGCGGAGAAAGGGGAAGCCTCCTACACTGTTGGTGGGAATGCAAGCTGGTGCAGCCACTCTGGAAAACAGTATGGAGGTTCCTCAAAAAGTTGAAAATAGAGCTACCATACGATCCAGCAATTGCACTACTGGGTATTTACCCCAAGGATACAAATGTAGGGATCCGAAGGGGTACGTGCACCCCAATGTTTATAGCAGCAATGTCCACAATAGCCAAACTATGGAAAGAGCCTAAAATGTCCATTGACAGATGAATGGGTAAAAAAGATGTGGTATATAGATATAGGGATATATAATGGAATATTATGCAGCCATCAGAAAATGAAATCTTGCCATTTTATTTTTATTTTTAATTAATCTTTACACCCAATGTGGGCTTGAACTCACAATCCCAAGATCAAGAGTCATACACTCCACTGACTCAGCCAACCAGGTGCCCCTGGATATATATTTTTTTAATGAGGAACATTTGTATGTGGATTCTATATGTTATGAAACCTTATTAATATGCCATCTGAAGAAGACTTTGTTATTTTTAGGTTTTGATGTAAATTTGCAGAAGTCAATGGAAATAGGTATAGGGGATATTATTTGAAGTAGAGGCAATAATTATTTTCTTCTCTACTTATGTTTTATTTTATTTTATTTTTTTATTTTTAAAGATTTTTATTTATTTATTTGACAAAGAGAGAGCGAGAGAGGGAACACAAGCAGGGGGAGTGAGAGAGGGAGAAGCAGGCTTCCCACAGAGCAGGGAGCCCGATGTGGGGCTCAACCCCAGAACCCTGGGATCAGGACCTGAGCCGAAGGCAGACACTCAATGACTGAGCCACCCGGGCGCCCCTCTACTTATGTTTTAAAATGATCTTCAGATGATTTAGAATTTCAGTGGTCTTGCTGAAAGGTAATAAATCTCCGTTGTTACTTAGAAGTACATGCAATTCCAACCTGAAATCATAAAAGTCATAGAGGAGAGCATAGGCAATAATTTCTCTGACATTGGCCTTAGCATTTTTCTAAATATGTCTCCTAAGGCAAGGAGAATAAAAGCAAAAATAAGCAATTGGGACTACATCAAAATAAAAAGCTTCTGCACAGGGCGCCTGGGTGGCTCAGTTGGTTAAGCGACTGCCTTCGGCTCAGGTCATGATCCTGGAGTCCCTGGATCGAGTCCCGCATCAGGCTCCCTGCTCAGCAGGGAGTCTGCTTCTCCCTCTGACCCTCCCCCCATCTCATGTGCTTTCTCTCTCATTCTCTCTGTCTCTCAAATAAATAAAATCTTTAAAAAAAAACAAAAACAAAAAAAAAAAAAACTTCTGCACAGCAAAGGAAACAATCAACAAAACTAAAACACAGCCTACTGAATGGGAGAAGATAGTTGTAAATGCTGCATTTGATAAAGTGTTAGTATCCAAAATATGTAAAGAACTTACACAGCTCAACACCCAAAAACCCAAATAATTCAATTAAAATATGGGCAGAAGATACGAACAGACTTTTTTTTAATAAAGATTTTATTTATTGAGATACCCGGGTGGCTCAGTCATTAAGCGTCAGCCCTTGGCTCAGGTCATGATTCCAGGGATCAAGTCCCGCATGGGGCTTCTTCCTCAGTGGAGAACCTGCTTCTCCCTCTGCCTGCTGTTCCCCCTGCTCGTACTCTGTTTCTCTCTCTGACAAATACATAAATAAAATCTTAAAAAAAAATAAATGAAAAATAAAGATTTTATTTATGTATTTGAGAGAGAGAGTGAGAGAGAGATCATGAACAGGGTGGAGGAGTAGAGGGAGAAGCCGACTCCCCGCTGAGCAGGGAGCCCAAAGTGGGGCTCGATCCCAGGACCCTGGGATCCTGACCTGAGCCGAAGGCAGATGCTTAACCGACCGAGCCACCCAGGCACCTGTGAACAGACATTTCTCCTAAGAAGACATCCAGATGGCCAACAGACACATGAAAAGATGCTCAATGTTGCTTACCATTAGGGAAGTGCAAATCAAAACCACAAGGAGATAACACCTCATAGCTGTCAGAATGACTAACATAAAAAACACAAGAAACAGCAAGTGTTGGTGAGGATGTGGAAAAAAAGGAACCCTCATGCACTGTTGGTGGAAATGCAAACTGGTGTAGCCACTCTGGAAAATGGGATGGAGGTTTCTCAAAAAATGCAATATAGAATTACCATATGATCCAGTAACTCCATGACTGGATATTTATGAAATATGAAAACACTAATTTGGAAGATATATTCACCCCTCTGTTTATTGCAGCATTATTTATAACAACAAGATATGGAGGCAAGGAGGCAACCCAAGTGTCCATTGATAAATGAACGGATAAAGAAGATGTGGTGTATACATACAATGGCATATTTTTTTTAAGATTTTTTAATTTATTCATTTGAGGGAGAGAGCAAGCAAGAGCATGAGCATGGAGGAGGGGCAGAGGGAGAAGCAGGCTCCCTGCTGAGCAGGGAGCCCCATGCGGAACTCGAACCCAGGACCCTGGGATCATGACCCAAGCCGAAGGCAGAGGCTCAACCAAATGAGCCACCCAGGCGCCCCTACATACAGTGGAATATTACTCAGCCATGAAAAAGAGTGAAATCTTGTCATTTGCAACAGCATGGATGGATCTAGAGGGCATGATGCTAAGTGAAATAAGTCAGAGAAAGACAAATACCATGTGATTTCACTCATGTGGAATTCAAGAAACAAAACAAATGAACAAAGAAAAAAAAAGACTTACATATAGAGAACAAACTGGTAGTCACCAGAAGGGAGGTTGGTGGGGGGGATGGGTGAAATAGGAAGGGGGATTAAGAGTACATATATTGTGATGAGCACTGATAATGTATTTTTTTTAATATTTATTTGATAGAGAACACAAGCAGGGGGAGCTGCAGAGAGAGAGGGAGAAGCAGGCTCCCCACTAGGCAGGGAGCCCGATGTGGTGCTCGATCCCAGGACCCTGGGATCATGACCTGAGCCAAAGGCAGATGCCCAACTGACTGAGCCACCCAGGCACCCCTCTTTTTTCTTTTTTTAAAAAAAATTTATTTGAGAGAGAGAATGAATGGGGGAGTGGGAGGGACAGAGGGAGAGAGAAGCAGACTCCCCAGTGAGCAGAGAGCCCAACACAAGGCTCGATCTCAAGACTCTGGGATCATGATCTAACAGCCACCCAGGTGCCCCAGAGTAATGTATTCTTGAATCACTATATGGTACACCTGAAACTAATATAACACTTTCTATTATTATACTGGAATTAAAATAACATAAAAATTTAAAAAAAGAAAAAATTACATGTAATTCCAAGAAGATAAGGTGATGAAGGCTATTATTTAAACATTTGTACATTAAAGAGAAACTTTGGAATAGTTCATATAAACACATGGTATAGAATTCGTAAAGTTCGGTGTGCCTGGATGGCTCAGTTGGTTGGGCGTCCCTTAGGCTCAGGTCATGATCCCAGGGTCCTGGGCTCAAGCCCCATGTCAGGCTTCCTGTTCAGTGGGGAGTCTGCTCTCTCTCTCCCTCTGCCCCTCACCCCCCATGTTCTCTTGCTCAAATAAATTTAAAAAAAAATTCGTAAAGTTCAAAAGGGCATTTACAGAAGTGAGGACGTTTTCTTCAAGCCCTGTCCCACACTATTTTCCTGCCCTGGAGGTAACCATTATTACTAGTTTGTTATGTTCCTTCCAGAGATCAAAATGTACCTTAAAATTAATACTCTTATTGTTTTAGTAAGTGTTGTCCTTTTAAATATAGCAAAGTCTAGTGATATTTTTGCAATCTTTATTATAACTTTACTTTGCAATTATGGTTGCAGTGCGAATTACATGTCAGTCCTGGAAATGTCTTGAAATAAGCTTTTTGGCTGTGCACTTTTATCCTGTTGTTTTTAGAAACACAGGGTTTTGTTTTGTTTTAAATTGTGCCCTTCTGAAGTAAAAGAGAATCTAAGTAGAAAAAAATTTTTGGGAACAACATGGGTAGTTTGAATCTTTTTTCATTCTTCAATGATAGATTTTCAGCTAAATATCTTTTATTCTTTGCTTTGCAGTTTGGTTTGTGTATCTTATGAATATTATATGTTCTATTCCCATATAGACAGTTAGCCTCAAAAATTTTTAACCTTACTGGTTACAAAAGTAATTGAGCCTGGCCAATGTGTCAGTCAAAAATACCGTAGTCCCCACTTACCTGCGTTTTTGAGTTTCACAGTTTCAGTTACCTGCAGTCATCTGTGGTCTGGAAGCAGATGATCCTCCTTCTGACATATCGTCAGAAGTTCAGTAGTAAGGGCGCCTGGGTGGCTCAGTCAGTTAAATGTCTGCCTTCGGCTCAGGTCATGATCCCAGAGTCCTGGGATCGAGCTCCACATTGGGCTCCCTGCTTGGTGGGAAGCCTGCTTCTCCCTCTCCCACTCCCCCTGCTTGTGTTTCTTCTCTTGCTGTGTCTCTCTCTGTCAAATAAATAAACAAAATCTTTTTTTTTTTTTAATTTTATTTTATTTATTTTTTTTTTTTAAGATTTTATTTATTTATTTGAGAGAGAGAGACAGAGAATGAGAGATAGAAAGCACGAGAGGGAAGAGGGTCAGAGGGAGAAGCAGACTCCCCGCTGAGCAGGAAGCCCGATGTGGGACTCGATCCCGGGACTCCAGAATCATGACCTGAGCCGAAGGCAGTCGCTTAACCAACTGAGCCACCCAGGCGCCCCAAATAAACAAAATCTTAAAAAAAAAAAAAAAGTTAAGTAGTAGCTTAACAATACGTCACAGTGCCTACATCATTCAGTTCACTTTATCTCATCACATAGACCTTTTATCGTCTCTTATAATTACAGGAAGGGTGAATATAGTACAATATTTTGAGAGAGAGATACTATATTCACATAACTTTTATTACAGTATGTTATAATTATTGTTTTATTATTAGTTAATCTTTTTACTGTGCTTAATTTATAAATTAAACTTGATCATAGATATGTATGTATTGGAAAAAAAATATATCTAGGGTTCAGTACTATCCAGTAGGGTTTTAGGCATCCACTTGGAATATGTCCCCTGCATAAGCAGGACAACTGTATAAAGGAAGCAAGTTGCAGTAAAGGGCTTTTATTGTGTTAAACACAACGTAAAAATATGATTAATTTTTGTGAACTTGGCATGTATAGTATTTTTCCCTAATCTTTTTTTTTAAGGTTTGAACTTCATTTTTTAAAAAGATTTTTATTTATTTGACAGAGAGCACAAGTAGGTAGAGTGGCAGGCAGAGGGAGAGGGAGAAGCAGGCTCTCCACCAAGCCAGGGAGCCTTATGCAGGGCTCGATTCCAGGACCCTGGGATCATGACTTGAGCTGAAGGCAGGTGCTTAACTGACTGAACCACCCAGGTGCCCCTTTTCCCCTAATCTTTAGTGTTATGTTTCTGTTAACCTCTGTGGTAAAAGTTGTTTCTTTTGAGGAACTAAAAAAATCTAATTAAAAAAATGGGATTAGGGGATTGGAATCATGAATGAGCCTATAAATGTCTTTGTAAATATTTTTTATATTTCACCAAAACAAAATAGTAAGGACAGCTCTCCAAATAAAGAATTTGTAGGAGACATTTAAAAATCTTAAAATGGTAATAATGGATTCTGGGTTATTTCCTTTCTTCATTCCTTATTTGCTAACAGCTTTTCAGTGAGATGAGTTGGAAATTTTGGGTTTTTTTTTGAAATAACACGTAAACCTCTGCTTTATTGAAGGTAATATACAAACTGTGAGGCACTATATGTGTGTGTGTGTGTGTCCCTCCATCTTAAGAGCCAGTGTGCATTTCTAATCTTATGACTCAGAGTTCTTAACCTTCTTGATCTCCATTTTGTATTTCCTTTTGGGTCTCACTGTAGTCCTGAGGTACGTAGTACCTGGAAGCTAGAGACAGAAGAGGCTTTGCGTGACCTTTTTTCACTTACTCCATTTGCCATCACAGAGTAGCCATGTTCTCATTCCCTCTCAACACGAAGGTTATTATGTAGGCCCCTCGGGATAATTAGTACATTGGAACTCGAGGTAATCCAGCTTGCCTCTGCAGTCTTTCTTCTGTGTGTCCTTGGTTCCATCCTACAACATAAGTCTAAGGTAGCCCTTTGTCTCAGCTTCCTTTATCCTCCCCAGGGATTCATTTCATGAATCTATTTTTCTGCTTTGCTTTCTGCTTTATTTCCTTCTTCTCATGATACCTTCAGGTTCCTTTTTTTTTTTTAATTCAAAATCTGTGTTTACTTGAAACTGCAATTCTCAGCAATTAATTAACTGTGGAAAGGTATTTAGGAGTACATCTGCATATAGTTGAATTTCATAAATGAAGAAATATTGTGATTAGGGAGAGATTTCTGCAGTATTGGAAAAACTAATTTTTTCATCTTTGGATTCTTCTGTGCCTTCTATACCTTTTGCTTCCTTAGGAATACCTTTGTTCGGTAATCAGGTATTTTTGATCTGGACCAGGAAGGTGGCGTATGTGAGCATCGTGTACCAGCCGTGCTCCAGCATGTGCTGAACGGTGTTGAAGGTATGATATTGCATTGCATAAGCAGCTCTGGGAGGATGGAGCATTATCTGCCTTGCCAGGCAGCACATCCCCATCAATTCTTTCAGCTCCTAGGGTGATGGTTGTGGGGTTACATTTTCGATGCTTCTGTTCCTGTACAGAATAGATGGTTAACATATATTTGTTGACTGACTACATTAGAGCCAGTACTTCAGAACTGATCCTATAAAGAGGGGACGTTACTAAAACTTTTTGGGAATTTATGACAAAGTTAGAGTTTTGAGATTATTCTGAGATTGTGGGTGTGGTAGTTCGAGGTAAGAGGCTGGAGATGGGGAGACCAATTGGGGAGCATCTGTGAAAGTTGATGAGTCAGTTGATCAGTGCTGGACTGGGATGGTGGCAGTGGGAATCAAACAGGTGTGTTCCCTGCCCTTATAGAGCTTTAGTCTTCTTTTTTTTTTTTTTTATAAAGATTTCACTTATTTATTTGACAGACACAGCGAGAGAGGGAACACAAGCAGGGGGAGTGGGAGAGGGAGAAGCAGGCTTCCTGCCGAGCAGGGAGCCCGATGTGCTCAATCCAGGACACTGGGATCATGACCTGAGGAAGGCAGACACCCAACGACTGAGCCACCCAGGCGCCCTGAGCTTTAGTCTTGTGAATGAGACAGACCCAGCAAACTATCAATTCAAATATAGGGAGATAAGGAAAGTACACATTTCACCTAAGCCTTGTGGGATCTATTCATAACACTTGCCTGTAATGAATTATTTTATTGTTGGCTGTAATATAGTGATTTTTAAGATAAATTCTATCATTTTTGTCCATTTATTGTCATTGTGTAAAGACGACTGTTCATTTTCTAACTCTTTTTAGAATTAAACTTTCTCCAAAAAAAAAAAAAGTGCTGGGCACACAGAAGAGGGGAACCTGTCTAGCCTATGGGGAGGATTGGAGGAGTTAGGTCAGAGAATACTTCTAGAGGAAGAGACAGTTGTTACTGACCTTAAGGGATGTGTCAAACTCATCTATAAGAACATCTGTGATGAAAGATACAGAAAATAAATCCCTTGGGAAAACAGGAAAAGTGTCAGGAAAGAGCACTAGTTGGGGAGTCAGGAGACCTGTCTGTGCTCTGATACTTGTGTAGCCATGGGAAGTCATTTCTTGCTGGGCTTCAGTTTCCTCATTTGTAAATGTAGAGTACCAGATGAGGTCTTTGAGGGTTAGTCTTCTAATTTAACTATATTAGCTTGATGTGTTTACCACAGTCATATCCTGTTGAGTGTTTGTTCTGCAGCAGCTCTTTGTTGGAGTCTCAGAAGGGAGAATGGGACCTGCTACTGAGGACAGGGAGCCCCTGTTTCCCCAGCATTACATTCTCTGGTTAACCATAAGCTGAAAGAGCAGCTCATTCAGTGGAGAGAGGAGTTGACATTGGGGGTGCTGAATTAGACTTAGCTATAGGATAAACTATAAGTAAAAGAGGTACAAGAAGAGGAGAGTCCACGATTTTGTTGTTAAAGAAATGATGGTACCAAAGTTAGCATCAGGGTGGGAAGCCTGTTTTGGGGAAAAAGGTGATGAATTCTTCTTTGGGTTTTTTTGGATATGAGGCAAATTTAGTGTAGAAATCTCTAGAATTAGTTAGGGATATAAATCAGAGTTCAGTTGAGAGGAAAAGACCAGAGGAGGATCTGAAAGTTATTAGAATAGAGGTAACTTAACATTGTCAGAATAAAAGCACTTTTGAAGAAGAGAATAAGGAGAAAGAAGAACTCAGGGCCGAAAATTGAGCTTTGGTAGAGGTGCCTTTGTGGGATCACCTCCCTCACCTGACATTCTCCTAAGGAGAAGAACAAAAATAAGTCTAAGAGGAGGGGGATGATCCAGACTGCCAAGTGCCAGCAACTTGGGAGAATGACTTGTTCGGAAGGTATCTGTCCCACGGTGGGTTCTCCAGGAAGCAGATGGTGAGACAGAGTTGGGAGTGCAAAAGGCCTATTGAGAAGAAACACCTATGGGGGGGTAAAAAAAAAAAAAGAGGAATTAGGATTGGGAAAAGGAGCTGTCAAACTGTGATACAGACTTGACAAAACTAGGAGCAAATGATACCACCATCTTGCTTGGTCATTGGCTGAGGACCCTGAAGATATAATAGCTGGAAGCTCTCAGCTAACTACAGTCCTTGTAGCTGGGCAGCATTTCCTTTCTTGAGGGATCTGAGTGGTACATCTCTGTGTCTGCCACAGAATCCTTTTGAAAAAGCAATTTCATGAGATTGATAGGGATGGGAGCCATATTATGGAGACTGTAAGGAGACAGAGTGGTCAGAAGAGGGGGCAGCAAAGATAAACCTCAGATTTGTGATCTTTGTCATCACTTTGGGTGTTTACTGTGGCTTCAGATTTTCTTTTGGAGTAGAGTGTACTAAATTGAACTACCTAATTTTTCTCTCTTCTGTTACAGAGTTCTTTCTCACACTTGTTAATTCTTACTGAGTCCCTTCCTCAAAAATCTCTACTCAAATTTTGAGGAACTGGATTGCTTTACTAGACCTCAGATCAGATGAGTTACGTCTGCTAGTTCTGGTGGTGTGAATAACTAATGACATTGGTTTTTACTCTAAAAGTGACCTGAATTAGAGATTCCAGTTAAACAAAAATTCTCTCCAGTGGAATATAATGATAATACAGTGAAGTAAATTCAAAGACCTAGATCTAGATAAAGATGATGGAGAAGCAAACTAAATTAAAGAGAGAGATAAGAAAATTCTTAAATAGGGCTTATTTAGCAAACATTTGTTGAACATCAGGCACTTTATTAGGTTTTGGTATGACACGGTTGGATAAAATAGAGACCTTCCCTTTACGGAACTTACAAAGTAGTGGGAGAGATAGGTGCAGACACTTATTGGAGTTAAATCTTTTTATACATGATTTATCTTTTTGTTTACTTTAAATTTTTTATTGTTATGTTAATCACCATACATTACATCATTAGTTTTTGATGTAGTGTTCCATGATTCATTGTTTGTGCATAACACCCAGTGTTCCACGCAGAACGTGCCCTCTTTAATACCCATCACCAGGCTAACCCATCCTCCCACCAGCCTCCTCTCTAGAACCCTCAGTTTGTTTTTCAGAGTCCATCGTCTCTCATGGTTCGTCTACATGATTTATCTTCTTAAAGACATTTGTTTATGCTATAGTCCAGTGGGAGACTGGAACGTAAGGAAGTTGTCCCAGATTGGGAGACTTTGTTGCCCATTGTGTGCCAAAGCACAGTTCTTTGTGGATGACTGAACTGAGTTAGTTTCATCAACTCTATATTCTTACAGTGATCTCTTCATATTTTATAATTTTATTGGTGTTCTCCAGCTGGAACCCCCAGACATATTTAATTTTTAAAT